ATTCCTATCAAATTTTATTTGAAATTTTGGGATTCGGTAAAGGGGATTTGTAGAAGTTTTTAAGGAGATTATGTAAAGGGTAAGGGTTGGGGAACGATTTGCATAGAAAGTGGTGACCATGATTTACAAGACAGGGGGAAAGGAGGACATTAGAAACTGGAGACCAATCACTTTACTAAATGTAGACAATAAGTTGTTCACTAAGATATATGCAGCACGTTTAGTGGGGGGATACTTGCACAGGTGGTGAGAGGGGAGCAAGATTGTGTGGTGGTGGGGAGAAGGGCAGCACAAACTCATTGGATTGTTAGGGACTCATTAGCTTATATTTGGGAATGGAAGTGGAATTTGTTAGTGGTGAACCTGGATTTACAAAAAGATAGTATTACACATGAATTTTTGTTTAGGGTGATAGATAAGATGGGGCTACCAGGGGAATTTGTGGGGTGGGTGCGAGCTATTTATGGTGGGGTAAAGAGCAGGGGTATAGTCAGGGGATTTTGGGAGAGGCTTTTGGGATAGATTTGGGGGTGAGGCAGGGGTGTTTGTTCTTGCCAGGGTTATTTGTATGCACAACTGAGCCACTGGCACAGAGAATTAGGGGCAATAGGGAGATTAGTGGGGTGAGAGTGCCAGGGGGAGGGTAAGTTAAATGTCTGCTTTATATAGATGACATGACAGCGGTGGTGAGGGATGAGGTTTTGCTGGGGAGGGTTTGGAAACATGCTGAGGAGTTTGGGGAGGTAGCAGGGGCAAGGGTAAATGTGGGTAAATGTATGGGATTGGCGGTGGGGAGTTCGGGTGATTTGGGCTGAGGGTGGAAAGGGAAAGGATAAAGGTGCTGGGGGTGATTATGGACATTCAAGGGAAAGGGAAGGCAGTGCAGGAGAAATTAGAGGGAAGGGTGAAGCAGGTTGTGGGTGACATGGGGGTTGTTGTTTAGGGGTAAGGTATGGGTGATAAAACAGCATCTATTACCACTGATTCTGTTTACAGGAATTGTGTATCCGCTGTCCTGGCTACAGGTGCAAAGACTGCAGAGGATGTTGTGTTTGGGGTTTTTTAGGGGGGAAAACAGAGAGGGTGGCTAGGGGGGAACTGTATAAGGATGAGAGGTTGGAGGGGTGGGGATTGCCAAACAAAGACATTTGTTTATGTTCATTTTCTGAAGATGGTGGTGAGGGAGGTTAAAGGGGGAATGGGGATAGTGGGGAATTTTAGTAGGTTTTGGGCAGGGAGGTTATTATGGAGATTGGGTTTATATGGGGGAGGGTGGAAAGGGTTGTGGGCGTGGAGGATGTCACTGCAGTATGCACGACTGGGGGCTTTTCTTAACGCACAGGGATTGGACAGATTGGGGCTTGATGACTTGAGGGATTCAAAAGGGGGGTTTAAGTTTCTGAGGGA